AATTCACGTGGGCAAAGCCTTTGGGTAAAAGCTAGGAACACCCACACTTTACGTACCTATTACATACACAGGACAAAAACGTTTTACTTTTCAAATTGCTATTAGGTAGTTGGGAACACACTTCATACTTGTATAATTTGTATTGGTTATTGTTATTCCAACAATCACACAAGCACGAAATAAATAATTATTAATCATCTCAATATTCCAATTCAAAATCGTGTGAATTATCGATTTTTGACATTACTCAAGTTTCTGTTAAAAATAAGGTAGACCCAGCGCAGCAGATTGATTAGGTACCTATTAATTACGGTCGTCAAACGGGTAAATAGTTGCCTCCGTAAATTCTAAATAAATATCATTTTTAATAATTTTATTAGATTGATAACAACCTACCTCAGGGGGTACTAACTACATACATATTATAATCTTATTCCGAACTGAATTCAGTAAGTAAATTTAATTATAAATTTAGTCAATTAGCTCATTCATGGTTTAAGTATAAAAAAATTCTCGCACTCCCATCTAAATATATAATACCTACCTATATTCATACTTATTGGAATCGCAGGTTACACCCAATTTATGTTTTCCTATGTTAGTTAAACCCTAGAGTGCATAGAGGAAGAACGCGCCCTGAGCGTCCCATTGGACTGAGCAAAAAAATAAGCACGCGAGCTGAACGGGCGAGCCGAGCCGCATTCCTCGACTGGGTCGACGGCACGGCATGCCCCGCGCTCTCCGCTCCCTCTCCCTCAGTCGTTCGCGCGCGTCGTTTGTGATAACTCGTCTGCGCGTTATCCGCTGTTTGCCGCGTATTATGTTTACAATAGTGTTGTTATTGTTTTCGTTATTATAAAAAATACATAATTTAAGTGTTTTGTGCTGTGTTCCGAAGTGCAATATAGAATTGAAACAGTTCAATATTAAATTGTGGATCACAAGGAGCAGACAAGCACGGCAAGCACCGAGCTCAGGTAGCGTTTCGTATTTGTTTTGGATGTGAATACGGATGAAACAACTAGATTTAGTTATCATAGTTTTAAGGGTTAGGTTACATTATTGTTTTAAATATAATACAGGTTAATTGTAATAACAGAACCACGTGACCATATGAATGCTTAGTGCACACCACGTGGTGTGAGCGGTGGTGTAAACAACTCTGTGCCCTTCTCCGCAACGAACGACGCGGTGGCGGGCGGCGCGGCGCAGAGGCGAACGATATGTGCGCGATGGCGGCGGAGAGCGGTGACAACGGTTTGACGGCTGCTTCCATGATCGTATCCGTTAAGAAGATAGATATTATTTTAAAAATGTGAATAATATCTATAACTGAAAATAATTTCTTAAGTCAAATTCCAAAAAGGTTGAATTGAAATACCGAGGTATAATGTAAACTAAAAAAGATTATCATGTGGTGTTTAGGTAAATCTTTATAACTTTTATCCACTGCAGTGGTAGCATACCTACTATAATACTTTATAGGTATGTAAAAAATACCTATTTTATATAGATTAATTGAGAGTGTTTATTTTGTGGTAAGTTAATCTTTCGATTTAGGTACGGTAATATCCAGGTAGACTACAATATCTAGTATCTACATAATTATTCAATCAAGTAGATACTTCGTAATTGGTACACACTGCATCCATCACTCAATAGCGAAGTATCAATCCATAGTATAAAATATCATAATCGGTTTTTTGTGTAAGTAATTGTAAGCAGATTTACCTCTTTAATTAGGTATGCGAGTTTTATTATTGTATATTTTGTATTTGTAGTAGACATTGGAATATTAAGAATTTGTTATCGATAAGAGAGTGCGCAAGAACATACACCTTGAAGTCTTATCAAAACAATAATCCGAAAACAACGTTTTTTACACTTCGCTTGGCCTTGAATTAACTTGTTGATGCGATCTGTTGCATTCTTTGTTCAACGTATGCTCATTGCTCAGTGTAAGAACTGAGATTTATAAATGTCTTCTCTTCTAAGACCCCGTTCACACTATGCCGATGTCTGAGGGACTGTTAAGTAACTGACTATACCCACTCACTTAAGAATGCCAGAGGAGCCCGGCAACCAGGATACACCTTGATAGCGCGTAAACTTGTACACACACATTTCCCTAGTCCTGGATATCTTTCTGCGCTGCGCAGTGACAAAACACTTGGACCGAAAACGTCGGCATTTAACGGTATTTTTACCGGATAATAGTTACCTATACCTATGAAGTTTTTGTTTTTTGACATTCTGGTTTGCATTCATAGAAGTTACATTGAGCGTGCCCGGCGAATTTGCCAGATTGGAGTGGTATGAACGAGCCCTTTCGCATTTTCTTTCATTTCCATTTTATAAATGCAAATCCTCTTTGCCTACATACTTTTAAAGCATTAAGTAAATAAACACCGCTGTGTACCTCTACAGGTATTAATTTGTGTTATTAGTATTACTAAGGATTCGTGTACTCAAACGGCCGTCGCGCGTCGGACTGTACATTGACTCTTCCACAGTTACCAATTACTTACAAATTAGATGCCAGCAATACATAGAAAGATCAATTTTAAAAGGAAAATAAAACAAAACTGAATATCAAAACTTTTATCTATTCATAGAAATATAGGTAGGTACTAATGAGTAAACGACAGATAAGGTACACAATTACTTATCATTATGTTATGGTGTTGTTATCTAACTATTTTTATACATTTTACAAAACATGTTTGCGTCAAAATCCAAATAATTAAACTTGTAAATCGTATGTGGCACTGGCTACATGTAATTTTTATTTTTGTGCATTTGGCAAAATTCATAATTTGGCAACGCCTCATACGACGAATAATAAATCGGAAACGCGGAAAGAAAAGAACGGAAGAAACCCCCACTCCACATGGATAAGATTTTACGTAGTTGCTTCTTAAGTGCGTTCGCGTTCTTCAGGGGGTGGGGGTGCAATGTTTTGGGTATGGAGCCAAGCACGCGCCGCCGCACTGGTCGCGGTCTGATCGATCGTGCTGCGCTGCGCTGTTCTATCTATTATTTATTACCAAAAATATGGCGGCGTGGTGCGGCACGAGGTCGTCGACCTCACTGTCCGCCACGACACGCCGCGTAAACAACAAATGCAGCGCGGGAAAGTCGTCCCCTCCCTATCTGCCAAGGTTTACCCGCGTGCCGTGTGTTGGACCTTGATGCAATCATGACGTTTTCTATCTCAGACCAATCAAGAACGTGGTTGTATATATTCCAGGAATATACCACCGGAGAGTGGAATATTTATGTTGAAGTTCAGTCCCTTATAAACTTTGATAAATAATAATTTGTATAAGTAAATTCTTATGTATTGTTTACGCAATGGCTTGAAAAGTACTATTCATATTTATTATGATATTAACCCAAAAAAAATTAGTAAGTTACTATGTTGACACTCAGTTTATACTACATTTTGCTGAAGGTGCCAATGAATGGTCCATCAATCTGTTTAAGTTTAGATTTTACTAAATGTAAACAATCTATATAACTTTTATACGAAAATGTGGTTAATAATGAAAGCGATGGGTCGGAAAAGCAGTTTTAAACCTAATCTGTTACATAATATACTAAAGATTACTTTTCAAAAAAAATGGTTTTTTCAATTACTCCATTACATTTTTCATGTGTAGTGTTAAGATGGTTTGCCTGTAGTTAACGGCCTTTACCGAGCGTATAGGGTACGGTTTCGATACGGTAACTATTTTCTTTGTACATATATTTAACTAAAGTGAAGTAACCAGAGAAAACAGGGAGCAATAGGTAAATAAAACAGTTAAAAAAGTAGATTTTTATAGTTAGTGCAGTTTCTTCTTCTGTTTATTTCGTCGTTGGTGGTATTGGTTAGACTTTAGAAGATGTGGGAATATCAACTCGATTTAGGTACTTACAGTTTTTGGTTTAGTTTGGTAGGTTTAATCCAATACATCTTTAAAGAATATATTAGGCTGTCTATTTATCATTATTACCCAACTGACTAGTATAATTTAATAATTATAATTATTTTTTAGCCACTGTATCTACATATTATGAGTTTCGATTTCGACATGCTGGTAATTTTATTAATAAAAATAACGTTTAACACACATTGACATAGGTTACCAAACCAATGTGTAGTAATATTAAAATCCAAAAGGTATGTCCTTATTTCACTCCATGTTATCAATATTTTGAGCGTGGGCGCTTTGTATTGCATTATTGTACAAATACGCCGCTCTATTAATATCAACCTACTCTCGCAAAAGGTCCTCTACCTACCGCAACTAGAGATAGAGATATAAAATGACACGAGTACTTCGTCACACTCCAGGAAAAATCTACGCATTAAATAATGTATTCCTTAATCCTGGTTAGTAAAATGTAATTTTTCATATACCTAGGTAGGTAATTGCGGTTGTTTTGTTCAATACCTAACGTGTTTCTTAATTAATATTTTCCTGTTACGGGCGTGTCGTGGGAACATCGAAGGCTCCCACGCTAATTACCGCGGTCTTTATACACTCATTGGCCTCTGCGAGCCGACACTTTGATCAATGAAATTTATATTCATCAATGAAACCACTATTGTTGTACGTACAATAAGGTTGGCAATTTGCAGAGAAGCTATTGTGCGTCACTATGAGATAATGATTTATTATATTAGTGCTTGACGTTTGTGCGCGGAACTCGATTATTTATCCAACCTATGTAACTTCATGATATCCGAATCATAACTACCAATATTGTCTCCAACTGGTCGATATTGACGCAAAGGTTAGGAATTTAGCTATGTAAGTACATCGGTTCTAATGTTCTAAACCGTGTTAGTATGTTAACTGTAACGCGTCATTTAGAAACGTAAAAACTAAAAGTACCTAAATTTTCAATTTATACAGGTATCAAAAATATTATTAGAAAGTAGTATACAAAAAAATATTATTTCTAAACTCTGTTCAGACGGATCACCTTGATGGTAAGGTGTGGTGTGTTACATGGTAAGCCCATGAACACCAAATCTTACATTTATTTGTGAAGTTTCCTGAAAATCTCTATCTAGCTAGGTGTGAGGACCTAAAGGTGATATCATTGTTCCAGCTCGGGTCATGTGGTCATCAGGCCAGGGGCGCGGCACGGCGTGATGAGGCGCGCGTGCGACAACCTTGCCTGGCCGGTGGTGGCGTGCGCGCTGCTTATGGCATGCGCGCGCGCCGATGCCGCAGGCGACAACAAACTACCCACGGGAAGTAAGTAATAATGATGTAGTTTTTTCAGCAAATATGATCAATTCGAATTTACTGAACTAGGTAGATCGAATATTATTCGCATATTAGTTATAAGTATAAAAGAAAATAGGATTGGTTGACCTACCTCAGTAATTTATAGTTTAAATAGGGATGATGACAGAGTATGAAAATTAAACCTCTAATTAGTGGTTTAATTAGGTAAAAATAGATATTAGACACGTTTTTTTTTATTTGTCGTATAAGAAAACAATACTTAGATAAAACGATTCAAAGTTTAGCAGTGGAAGCTACCTACGTCATTTTTGTAAAACGTAGACAAAAGTGTTGTCACGCCATATTTCAAATCAATATATCGTCGAAAGTATTATTTATTTACATAACAAAATAAAAGTTACGGGTCTAATGTTTTTTAATAAAGTACCAGCAGGACATTAAAAAAAATAGGCATCTACTCTATTATCCACAGTAGCCCATTTTGTTTATGTGCTTAAGGTTTTGACTGGCAGTAGAAAACTGTTGAAGGCAAATCCTCCGCTAACGTCGGTCACCGGTGACCCTCACGGCGTTTAATGTGTTAATAATTTATACGGGTGATGGTTTATACCATAGAATCTATGGCATAGATATTATAATGTGGTTTATACTATACTACACTATACTAACTTATCACTATCAGCATCTACGCAAAATCCGCGATGAAAATAACCGCCTGCAAAAGAAAAAAGATAGACGTACTGATATTTTTATAAAAGATGTTAAAATTCAATTAGTTTTCAAAAATGGCTAAGCTGGATTTCCTGGCTGCTAGACCCGCTAAGGTGTAAATCCAAACGACTAAATAGAATTTGGAAAGTTATGTTTTGTAAGTTTTAAAAATTGATTATACGCTGTTTCAACTTGAGTGGTACACGTAGTCGTCGGTCGTCCATCGTCATACACCTAGCGCGTACCATGGATTTGTGAATGGCGCTTGTACCGTTTACGGACGGTACACGGCGCGGTCTACTGTAAAGAACTACTGGTAGCTAATAAACTGTGTGATATTAAAGTGGTAGTTACCTTTAAGTCTAGTACTAGGTGGTCTTTTGTACTTAATTATCTGTTTGTACATAAGTGCTTGTGGAGACTTGGAAGAAAAAGAAAACGTATATCACGATTTTATTTTGTACCTATATTGTTACTTGAAATTTTGTTATTACTCAGATTGGCACGCGGTCAAGCGGAGGTAAAGCCTAGTATGAAATACGCAACATAACACTCTGAGCGTACGGATTACTCATATAAAAATATAAATTTTATTGCCAACCAGTACGTACTCGTCACTCGTGTGTAGATGGGAAAATAAAGTCACACGCTTTATCATTACTTGTTCTAAGACTACATGGTGCGCGGTGTGCGGCTGCGTCTGCTCACTGCTGGCTGTTGACACTTCATCTATGTAAATCTGTCATTTATTCTTCTCTCGTATATCCTTGCTTGATGATGAGCTTGATTTATTTATTATTGTTCAGATTACATCATCCTTTCAGCAAGATTGGTATCGTTAATGATAAATCTCTTTTGGCCGGTCACCCAGTTTCGAAAACGAATTCAGTTTGCTATTTAAAATTTGTATTGTCCACATTGCTTTACGATACACGCATGAGCTATGCACGTGCAATCAAATTGAGTACAATCAGTACATATAAGTACCCACGACATTTTTATGGCCACCGAGGTACATGTACCGTGCCTGATATCAAACCGACGCGGCGTTGTATTTTTACATAATGTAAAGGGCGTATTGTTAACAACTAAGTAAGCAGATTCTAAAGTTGGTCGTTAATGAATTAACTTGTTAGCTATGTGTGTTATTGCGTACTTTTTGCCGGTGTTTGTAGTTGAGGCGGCCGCGGTGTTGCGCGAGTGGAACGCGTCGCACAGCGAGCATGAGTATCGACTATCGTGCCTGCCGCCGTTTAATCCGCGAGATAACGACTCGCCTCGATGTGTTGTTTGTTTGTAATTCTCTGTTCGACGACCGACGAGCTAGTGAGGCCTCGTTTAGGAGGCGCCCCTGTTATCTTGTGAACCGGACCGAAATTCACTCGCCCGTGTAATATGCGCACTGATATTGGAACATTTGGAACTTGCCAATTTTAAACCACCAATTAACATACTTGCTTTCATTGTTATTGTAGGTAGTTAGGTACTGGAAACGAGACGTCTGTCAAATGCGGGCTAGTTACTGTATTTACTGGTACTTACCTACTCGGAATTCTTTCTAAGCGGGATACTGTTTGGCTACTACTTAGGAACTCTACGTAACTATACAGTTTTCTAAAACGAATATGTCTTACTAAATATTCTACTCTTACTCTATCAGCTTAATAATTAGGTTCTAACTAGAAATTTAATAAACACAGGTTTAATTAGCAATATTTATCGATCTATTATTCGATAGTAAATGAGTTTGTAAACTGGCAAACTTTGTATTCCCTTTAATAGATATATACATATATGTGTTAATAATGGTTAATTTATATTTATACTTATTAGAAATATAAATAAAATTAATATGTTTATCTGTACTATGACCAATTTATTATAATGAATAAAGATTTATTTATTTATTTATACTATGTGTACATACATAACATACATAACATCACGCCTTTTATCCCCGAAGGGGTAGGCAGAGGTGCACATTATGACACTATAATGTAACACCCACTATTCACTATTTATGTTATAATGTCCCATGTAATAGGGTGTGAGCCTATTGCCATATACCAGGCACATTTCCAGACTCCGTGCTACTACTGAGGGTTTTTACAAACCCAGTAATAATTTGCCCGACCCGGGAATCGAACCCGAGACCCCTTGCCCGGCAGTCGCACTTGCGACCACACAGCCAATGAGCAGGGGTAGGCAGAGGTATACTATGTGTATAGTACACTATGTATATCACTAGATTTAATATTGTTTGAATGCGTAGATACCTCTTATATCCTAGGGATTATTTATTTATCATCATTGGGTAACTTACTTTTTGCAGGGTGAACGTAAAATTCGCCCTTCAAATACTAATCTTTCATTGTATGCCAGATGTTTGGGTCCCTATCCTAACTTAACTTTCCAGCTGTCGGGTTCATTGACCTCAAAGGGTACAGTTTTGTAAAACTCTTATGATAATTATTATTATACATATATCATCGATTTGGTTGGCCTATTTGTGAAGTCATTTTGAATTCTTCTTTTTTGTAGATTTCCGAAATATGTAACAAAATTAAAAGTATTTTATTCGTCCATATGTTTAAAATATGTATCTGGTTATTTTATTTCGGGGTCTCGTGAAATTTTAAACGATAAGGAAGTACCTAGGTTTACGTTTATTAATTAATCTTTGAGATCTTGATGATGGCGAGATGCTGCGATTAGTAGTTTTGTATGTTTTTTTTTGCAAATAATCACAATATCTGAATACATTAAAAAAATGAGTTTATAAGATAAACGCCATATTTATAGATATTCGCTATATTTCTCTGGGAAATTGCAACAAAAGAATTCTGTCTAAAATAGGTAACGCAGACGAAGTTTGAAACAGAAGTTAGTTATTTAATAAATAAGTAATTTACTTCTAATTTTGATATATGTAACTATCAAACAACAAATGAAGGAAAATCAGTCTTATCGTCTAATAGATCAAACAAAAAATCTTTTATTAAAGCAATCCCGTTCATTCCGCGGGATCTCGTCCGTTTTTCGACCGAGATTAATGCCCATGCCCATGCGATTGCATTCCTAGTTCAGTGTTACCGGGTTACCGGGGCTCCGGCTTGAAGCGCAGGAGAAGGAACGGGGTGGTTTTTAGTCAGTAAGAGTCTAACACTCTCCGCCTCACCCAGGCGGGAGCAGTCATTCGATGATTTCCCCCCTTAAAAAAAGTGCAGTGTTGTGCCGGCCAGCATCTGTTTCTTTATGTCAGCACTCTACACCCCTACAACTCTAGATCTCTACGTTCGTTCTACTCGTAGAGTTATTCATTTCATTTTAAAAAACGTTGACATAACTAGACAGTCGATTTAAGTAGTTGTATTGTGTAATGGTTCTCAAATATCTCTTTATTTTAAGAACATAATTGGCAATTTAAATTTATTACCGTACCCAACGAAAACGCGGCAATTCTGTTGGTTGATCATCCATTTCAAAAGAAAATTATGATCCGTTATAAATTTTGCCTTAACAAACATAATTACGCAAACAATCGACGTTATTATAATAGAATTATCGTTTCAGTAAGCATTAGTTTCATAACAGTGAAGATATGTAGATTACTCTGGATAAATTAATTAGCGTGATGCGTACTCACCTACTTATCTCATTTACATTACATAGGTTCGTTATCTGTATTGTGGTAGTGTGTCGGTAGAAATAGCTGGTCTGCGATACAATGTTTTTGTTTTATCTTAATATAACACTAACAAAGTTATTAAATTATTCGCTTATCTTTTCTTGGCTATCGCGGATTGGTGACATTGAACGTATGCCTCATCGACAAAGTTATTATGTTTCATTCATTTAACTTATTGTTGTTTCGCACTATTCTACGAAATAATTTTTATACTTTCTATAAAATTTTAATAGTAAATGCTTTTGTAATTAGCTTAATCTAACTAGGCACTTACGTTTATACAATATACACGGTATGGTATATAAAAACGTGTGGGCCAATTCATATCATTTTAGAAATTTCGGTTCATAAGCCAGTAAAATCAGTTTCGTTCAATCTGTCTACAGAAAATAGAATATTTTTAAAAACGTAGATTCGCGCATATCGTGCTAGTTAAATTCGTGCGAATCAACAATTAGCTAATCATTTGATTGTTGCGTGAACTGAATGCCTACCGAGTATTTTTTATATGAATTTTCAACTCATATAAAAAAACCTATATATATATATGTATATATGGTGTAGCTAATATTTCCGTAACATATAATAATTATAGGTTTTTATAAAA